CTTTTAATAGATAAGAACGTAAAAATTGGGGTGCCTGGGTGGCTCAGATGGTTAAGCATCTACGTTCGGCTCAGGTCATGATCCCAGGGTCCTGCTCAGCGGGGGGCCTGCTTCTCCCCCTTCCTCTGCTTCTCCCCCTGCTCATATTCTCTCTTTCTCTCTGTATCTCTGTGTCTCTAATGAATAAATAAAAAAATCTTTAAAAAAAAAGATTCTAAAAAAACCCCAAAATATTCCTAAATGGGGCTCCTGCGTGGCTCAGTTGGTTAAGTGACAGCCTTCGACTCAGGCCATGATCCTGGAGTCCCACCGGGATGGAGTCCCACATCCAGCTCCCTGCTCAGTGGGGAGTCTGCTTCTCCCTCTGACTCTCCCCCCTCTCATGCTCTCTCTCTCAAATAAATAAATAAAATCTTAAAAAAATATTCCTAAATGATTACCAACAGGGGGTGGGGAAATAGATGAAGAGTCATTTCTGTATCAAGAATACAGCAGTTATACGTACCGATAGAGAAAGGTATCCGTAATCTACAGTTTAGTGAAAAAAGATTTGGGACAATATACATTAAATAATTGCATTGTTTACATAAAAAAAGGTCCAAGATGTATTGCTTAGTTCAAAGCATGCTGTAGAGCAGTATATAATGAACAGATCCCTTTAGGTAAAAGAAATGCATGGACACAGAAAATTTCCCTCCCAAATCTCTAAGAACCTAGTTAGTAATGGATGCCTCTGAGGAAAGGGAAAGGAGATGTAGAGGGAAGTAAGAAGAAACTTCTGTTTTTCACTCTTTACCCTTTCCCCCCTATTGTTTAAACTTTATCCCGTAATTATCTTCCAACTTAAAAAGAAAAAAATACAAACATGAAAATAAAAAAGGACTTTTAAGCATGAAGTAATGACGCAGAAAAAAAGTAAAGGGATGATGGATTAGCATGATTAGAACAGGTATAATTTCCATTTCCTAACAGCTTTGATGAGCTCAAATTTTTGCAAATATAATAAATGATATGCTGATAAGCCCGAGGACAAAAACTGTTTACTCTTCATTTGGCAAAATAATAAACAGAGGCAGTAGGAGATAAACATTTATCTTCCATCACTAGCAATTTAGCAACTCACAACTAGACTGAAGGCTTTGGTCAGCTTTAATTTTGTGTGAACCAATTTGTAGCATCCCTATCTGTTGCTATAGAAATAACTGTGACCAAAAAAATCATAACACTTATTGTTGAATCTCCTCAAACAGGAAGAGAGGAAGGTCTTTTGAGGTGGTGAAAAGCTATATATAACCTTATTAATTAACAAATTTAATAATAAGGATTCTGGACAGTATGCAGAAAGAAAACATATCCGTGTCTAAGTGTCATACATTTGCAGGCTTTTCTTAATTTTGAAAGTACCACAGGCAAGCACTGTTCTGCTTTTGAAAGCCCTATTCTGTTAAGAATTTTATTTACTGCTTTTAGATCATTCTTTCATTTGTAGAAAGAGAATAAAGAGGTTTCTATTTAAAGTTTTTAAAAGATATTTTTAAGCACCCCTCATCTGCCAAAGCAATCAACGGTATCATTTCTATCTCATTCTTATTAAGAATATGAGAATTTTAATGTAGATGTAGTACATTTGGCAACAACAATTAGATTTTACTGTTCAGCTTGGTAGGTGTTGTCTTCTGCCACAAAAGCCGATTTCTGAAGAGGACATATTGGGCTGCATCAAACGTTCCTGACAGTAATAAGAGGAGGTGCTTGTCAATAGAATGATGGAATCGTGCCACGATATAGTAGTAATGCACTGAAAAAGGAAAATCCAGCTTTAAACTTCTTTTGAGAGGGTACCATTTTTTTGCTGATATAAGATGCTGAATGATGTAAATCAATTACAGTGGGTTCCTTTCAAGTAAGAAAAAACAATAATAATGAGAATTTGAAGACTGATACAAAAAAGCTGGGTGGCATTTTATGCCTTTGTTAGGGTCCAAAGCATATAAGATTATTCAAGTCTATTTTCTCCCTTATAAGCCAGCAGCAGCAAGTAAAACTGATCTCAAATTTAAAAATCATTTTGACTTAATGTCATATCTTTTAAAATAATCTAATATAGGAAAGACATTAGGGTTTGAAGCCAACAGCCAAGAAAGAAATCTTGAGGGGCGCCTGGGTGGCTCAGTCGTTAAGCATCTGCCTTCAGCTCAGGTCATGATCCCAGGGTCCTGGGATTGAGCCCCGCATCGGGCTCCCTGCTCAGCGGGAAGCCTGCTTCTCCCTCTCCCTCTGCCTCTCCCCCTGCTTGTGTTCCCTCTCTCGCTGTGTCCCTCTCTGTCAAATAAATAAATAAAATCTTTAAAAAAAAAAAAAGAAATCTTGAGACATCTTTGGTTCAAAAAGGTGGTTTTATGAAAGCGCAGGGACGGGACCCGTGGGCAGAAAGAGCCAAACGGGGTCATGAGGAGTGGCCCATTACAGACTTTCAAGTTGGGAGGGGGTTAGGGATAGTGTAAGCCTCCCAGGTATTTTGGGAAGCAAGGTTTCTAGGATCCTGAGGGGGTTAACTATTGTTGGGAAAGGTCATTTATTATCGTTTAGTAAATCCTCAGTCATAAGACCCTTCAGATGTATATCGGTGGGTCATATGCTTGGAGGATGATTGCTAACATGTATCTGGGGCGGGGGAGGGGGTGGTGGTGGCTGGGTAGAGGTAAAGGAAGTTTTCAAAGGAATTTTTATATGTTAAAGTAGACTTACAGGGTCCTGGAGGATGGGCTAAGATTACCTTTTGCCCTTGGCAAAGTATTAACATCTAAGGCAGCTGAGTCCCTAGAGGGAGGTCACTCTGCCTGTTTCAAGGATTTGTCAATGGGCTGTAAGTAATAAGGAATTTAATAATTTTTCTTCTGCTTTTGTTTCCCACACCATAATCTACATATTTTCAGTCGGTGGGCTACTATGCAATTAAGGAACAGTGAAATTTTAATTTTATGTACTTTTCTGAGCTGCTAGAAAATCAGGTAAATCCAATACCTAACTGGGTTCAGGAAAAGGGTTGAGAACAGAAGGTCAATAAATAATTCCAGCCACTCTCATAGGAACAGTGGCAGCGAATACTAAACAAAGCTCTCCAAGCAGGAGACCAAACAAGCCTCTTTCACAAGAAAGGGAGAGAAGGAAGTTAATATGGAGTTTCTACTATTCAATCATTTCTTCATTAACAAATATCTGGCAAATGAAGATTCAGTAACGAATAAGACTAAAATGGTCTCTACTCTCAAGGAGCTTTCCTTAAAAGGAGAAACACACATAAAACAGAAAAACAAATGAGTGAATGAGATAATTGCAAATAGTCTTGAGCGGAACAGATTTCCAGTCAAGATGGTTCTATAAGTTCACACTTTGGGGATACCATCCTTCCCCAAACACACAGCAACGACAGAGAAAATACAAATGTGAATATTAAAGACACAGGCCGTGCTCAGAAACAAGATGAACATCTTCATGGATGAGAGCACGAATAGAAACAATGGTATCCTGAACATAAAAAGAACTCTCAAAAGGTCAAAAATGGTAATAAACAAACAGTCCAATTAGAAAATGGGCAAAAGATCTGAACATATATTTCACCAAAGAGAAGTTATGATGGTACAAACGAGCACATGAAAAAATGCTCGACATCATTAGCCACTTGGGAAACACAAATTAAAACCACAATGAGATATCACCCAAAACTTATTCGAATAGCTAAAATAAAAACGGTAATGGCAAAAGTTGGTGAGGATGCAAAGAAACTGGATCTCTCATACACTGCTGGTGGGAATGTAAAATGTTATAGCCACTCTAGAAAACAGTTTGACAATTTTTTTAAACCTAATTTCGTATGCATTTACCACACACCCCAGCAATCACGCCCTTAGACATTTATCCCAGAGATATGAAAACTTCACAACCTGAATGGATCTCAAGAGTATTATGGGGAGCGGGGGGGAAAAAAAAAGCTATCTCAAAAGGTTACATATTGTCTGAGTCCATTTACATAACATTCTAGAAAAAATAAAACTATAGAGATGGAGAAAAGATTAGGGTTATCAGGGGATGAGGTGGTTGGGGGGTGGGGAAGAGATGGGCTGGACAGCACGATAGACCTCTTTGTGTGGACATAACATTTCTGTATCTTGATTTTGGTGCTGGTTACATGAATCTATACTTGGAATAAAATTGCATAGAAAAACTGCCCCCACCCCCCCCACACACATAAATGCAAGTTAAAAAACTGAATACTGAACTGAAAATTTGGAAACTGAATAAGGTCTGTAGTCAGTCAGAAGTAACATATGGACAGCCATCTCCTTGTTTCGATATTGTACTACGGTCAGAGAAGATGCCAGCCGGGGGGATGCTGGGTACTCGGTACGTGGGATTCTGTACTATATCTGCAGCTTCCTCCGAGTCTATAATTTTATTTCACAATAAAAAGGTTTTTTATAGATGAGGAGAGAAAGATGACTGTTCAATAAATAAAATATTGTTTATCCGCAGGGGTGCAAAGACAATAAAACCCCTATCTTACACTATATGGTAAAATTCTAGAGGGCACAAGGATTCCATTTAGAAGAAAAAGTAAGAGATCTTTATTATATTAGGATAAAAAGAATTTCTTAAATAAGATGTTTTTAAAAGCATCAGTTATAAAGGAAAACTTTGATAATCTAACCTTATTCTTACTTAAAACTGAATATAACAAAAACAACACAAACAGAATTCAAAGACAAGCACCGTTTCTCTTAGAACACATGAAGCTGAAGCTGGAAAGGACAAGGAAACAAATTCTCCCTTCGGGGCCTCCAGAAAGGAATGCAGCCTGCAGATGCCTTGTGAGCCCAGCGACACCTGTGTCAGACTTCTAACCTACAGAACTGTAAAATAACACATCTGTGCTGATTTAAGGCACTGGGTTGGTGGTGATTTGTTACAGCAGCAACAGGAAACTGCTACAAGTGACTTACCTCTGTGGATTTCCAAGTATTAATCTTGACTGGTAGTGTTTCCTGGGACAACACAGTCCCACTACGCAGCTGAGTGTCTTGGCACTGCTCTTGTTTCAATCCTGCCTTGGAAGCATTTTCTGTCAACAACACAAAGCTAAGATTTTACTTTGGCAAAAAATAGCAATGTTTTTACATTAGCTCACAATTTTTAAGTTAATTGCTTCTGAAGATCCATTTCGTTTGCAACATATACATCATCTGCCGACAGTCATTTTAATATATCCCTTTGTAAAAATTGACAAATTCAGGCCCATTTAAAACTACAACTTTGATTCTAGCCTTTTCTCCCATCAACAATTTTATTGTGTGTTTTATTATTTGAAACATCTTTTTTAAAATACGGCACAATACAGTGTAGAAAATGAAAGTCTGAAAATTATCCCTAGCCATGACAACTAGGATCATTCTAATTAATATTTAAAAGACCTTTATTACTGCAGTGTGAATTTCATGTGTTCACATATATGAGGTATAGGTTGTATGATGAGAAAGCACTTTTAAACAAAATTTTTAAAAATTTTAAACATAAAAGAATATGCCAGTGAAAATAGAGATCTCTGCTTGTATATCTGTACTGAATTTAATGATTTTGTAGTTGCCATTTTCCTTTCTATCTTTTTTTTTCCTGGGTAGGGGAGGGGCAGAGGAAGAGGGAGAGAGAGAATCCCAAACAGGCTCTACACTCAGTGTGGAGTCCGTTGTGGGGCTTGATCTCAGGACCCGGAGACCTTGACCTGAGCCAAAATCAAAACTCAGATGCTTAAACGACTGAGCCACCCAGGCACTTCTCCTTTCTTTCTATCGGAATTACTGTGTAAATGAAGTATTAGCCCCAACTATCTCTCGACATATTATTGCGTAAAATAAGAAGTGTAAGAAAGCGATCTTCAAACTGGTGTCTGCACACCACTGGGGATACTTAACGACTTCCCAAGGGCCAGGTGGGCATAGATAGTTTTAAAGGAATCAATGTCCAGATGTACCACTTTCATATATACTCTTTCCAAAAACGGATCTCCCTGAGAATGCGGCTGTGTGCAAGCATCAGGCTAGTTCTTTCCTCTTCCCCTTTCATAATCAACTTCCTCCCACTTTACAAACAAAGACCCATCCTCCACCCATCTTATTATGGTGCATCTTCCTTTATGGACAGAAGGAAAGCACAAGCACGGGAGGCAGGGCAGCTTATTTCATCTATGCAACAGACTTACGACAAGGCCCCAGCCTTAGCCATCTTCCCTAGGAAAAGAATTCAGGAATGTGAGCGCAACCACAGTGATGTTTATTTGAACGAAGTAAGATGTTTTCTGAAAGAAAGTTGAAATCTGATCTGGCCTACCGTTCTGACAATAAGGGCTGGCTTTGCCAACTAGGTAAACATAGTCAGTATTTTCCAAAAATGGAATGAACCAAATCTGTGGCTCTGAAGAGTTGCTGAAACATATTTAAAGCATAAGAAACAATAAAATAATTATCTCAAAAATTATTATACTGACAGATATACCGCAATGAATGTTTTTCTTTTTCCCACTTTCTGAGTATATTGCGTTAAAGTGTAACTGGCCATAATTAATAATCATCTGATAAATGTTAGTAAAGGTCTTTTTGATATTATTCCCAGAAATTGAGAAAGTCTATTACTCCTAATGACTGTTTAACAAATCTTTTTCTAAGTGGGTTTTTCCAATTCTTTGCTTTTGACAACACTGAAGATAGACCTAATCGAGTCAACAGCTGACAAGAGATGAAAACCATTTTTATAATAAATTACTATATAATTCTGGAGTATTACTTGAAAGGAATTCATAGAACTGACTGACGTTGCTATAATAAAACACCTTCTATTCCCACCTACAATTTTATGTGAACAAGGCTTCTCAGCATTTCCATCCATAAAAATGTAAAAGAGAAACAGAATTTATGCTGAACCCTGCTTATTTCCAGCAATAAGTAATATTCATAGGTGGGTAAATAAGCAGTTCCATGTATCTCATAGAAACATATATTTCCAATAAAATGGTATTCTTTATGTTTAATAAGTGTTTATAAAAATTTATAATACACTTATGTAGTTTTGGTTTTAATCAATTGTGTGGTAAAAGTAATTGTAATGATAAATCGATCTAGAAAGAATATTTTACCACTTAAAAGCCTCTGGTCCTAGAAAATGTAGAAAAATAATTTCAATTTATATACATGTTTGATGTAGAGAAGACTTTCAGGCATCAAAATACTTTCTATTAGGATGAAATCCTTTGAGGGATGTGGAGTAGAAATATGACTTCAAGGAGAAAAGGAAATTACATGATGCAAAGCTTCCAACAGTTAAAGACTGTGGTTTTTCAAACAAATGGCCGCAGGTAGCAGTCACACAGTGCCTAAGTTCCTTTAGATATGCTTAAAAGTCTCATGGAACTGTTTCATTTTGTTTTCTTTTGTCCTTAATGTCAATATTTTGAATTATGTCCTTTGCAGTGACTTATGATACAGTCACATGTCAACTTAAAAATGCATCAGGAGGTATATAATTTTTCAAAATCATTTTAGGGGCTATGCAATAAAAATAGCTTGAAAACCAATGGTATAAGATGTGGTGGTCCTCGCCTTCAGAAAATTTATAGCCTGACTCTGGAGATAAGACTGACACACAGACTTATGGGAAACAATTAGAGGAAAACAAGACCATGCCGAACTTTCTTAAATTAACTAACTTTAGGAATAAACATTCTAAGGAGGGAACAAAACGGTGTGCACTAGAGTGATCAGAAAGTGCCTCAAGTAGGAAGTAAAATCTGAACAAGGCTTTGAAGGATGGCTAGGATGTAGAATGAGAAATTAACCCAAGTAGAAGGAACTACGTGGGCAAAAGCAGCGAGTATGAGACATGCCAAAGACACTGAAAAAAGAATAAGAACTTTGCAATTATGGCTCTAACTTTTCATCTTCTCCTGATGTCACATGAAAATGAATAATTAAAATGAGCTTATTTTGGGGCCTGGAGATTTTATAATGAATACTGGCAAACAGTAGTGGTTTGAGGCTTAGATCATCTATGTACTTTCATGTGATTCATTGGGAACTACCTTTATGATCACTCTGAATATTCAGCAACAAAATTATCCTTGAAGTGATATGGACTTTGGTTTAGACATCATAGAGGTAGATTAATAACAATTGCAGGAAGTCAAGTTTGAAGTAAAGTATGAGGAAAACTGAAGGATAACAAGAACTGTGAAAGAAAAAAATATCTTGAATATTTAGACACATATTTTAAGCTAGAATAGCTAAATATTCTAAACCTGTATTAAATGATCTTCTAGGGGCAAGAAGGCAGGCAGTTAGAGCCTGGTGAGTCTATGGAAATTCATTGAGACTTTTTTTTTTAGAACCAGCACAACACTGGAAGTGAGGTGTGCTTAATTAAATTAGGCGATTACACAAGATTTATTTCGGGGATTTTCACAAGCAAACGGAAGGGGAGAGCACACGTTTCGTTTCTTAGTGGAAATGGAAGTCCCTTTGGTATCAGAAGCTATTTATCAGTTGAGATGGTGAAATCACAAGCCAGGAGGACTCGTGTGCAAATGTGAAACCCCAGAGGGAAAAGTGAAGACGCTGAGGCGGTGATGCTATCGGGTCATTTGAAGATGAGAGGTTAGATACCAAGGCTGGAGGTGCTGAGAGGAAACCATCGAGAGAGAGGCTGTAGATTTCATTGAGCCTGTACAACTCAGATAATACCACAGAGCAAAACTGGCAGGTGCTGTGATATTTCTTAGATGAGATATCAAACTGACATTCAAACAATCAGACATTAACAAGGCAAGAGCACACTTTGGAATCGAAATGCGGCATAAACTGAGTAAATTCCCAAATTGCTCCACTTATTATTTGGTATCTAATAAATATTGTTGCTATGTATTGGCAGTGTCCTTTCAGGTGTAAGGTATTTACTTAACAAAATCAGCTTTAAAAAGCTGGGTGCTGAGTCACTAAGCGTCTGCCTTTGACTCACTCAGGTCATGATCCCAGGGTCACCTAAGAAATGGAGCACATGGGGCGCCTGGGTGGCTCAGTCGTTAAGCGTCTGCCTTCGGCTCAGGTCATGGTCCCAGGGTCCTGGGATCGAGCCCCACATCAGGCTCCCTGCTCTGTAGGAAGTCTGCTTCTCCTTCCCCGACTCCCCCTGCTTGTGTTCCCTCTCTCACTGTGTCTCTCTGTCAAATAAATAAATCTTAAAAAAAAAAAAGGAAAGAAAATGCATCCACCAAAGAAAACACTGTGGGCTAATGAACTGATAAGATATGGACGTCTCATAGTGATTATCTTTTTATCTAACTTCTGCAGAATCACGAGTTGGGAACCTTAACAACTTCACTGTCTTGGAGCATAATTGCACTTAAGCATCTTCAAGTAATTGATATTTGTCCTAATTTTTTAAACTTCCATTTTGTAATCATTTCAAACTTACGGAAATATTGCTGCAAGAATAGTACACAGAACTCCTATAAACTTCATCCAGGTTTACCCATTATTAACATTTTGCTCCATTTGCTTTATAATTCTCTTTCTTCATGGATATACACATATTATGATACTCCTCTATTTTAAACCTTGAGGAAAAACCATTGTCATAGGTGGGGTTCCCCAGGAAACAGATCCCAAGGCTCATGTTTGTATGAGGGAGATTCATTAGGGAGTACTCTCTGTAACAGGACCCGTGAGGAGCTTGGAAGGCAGGACTGGGCCATGGGAGAAACTGATGTGGCTGCAGTAGAGGCTGCGACCCATCCTGCCAGGAGCTGGGGAGCTGGGATGGCTCTTCCCGGTTGTCCTGCCTTGAAGCAAGGGAGCAGCCCAGCTACAACCACAGGTCACTGGATGTGTTTCCCTCAGGAAGGGGTTGTGACCTTGGGCAAAGAGATTTTCTTCAACTGTTAGGAATTCCCAGAGAAGGACTGCGCTTGAGACCCCTCAGACGCCAACCCTCCCAGCAGCCGAGGGAAGAAGGAGTGTCTTGCTCTTAAAGAAGGGGTGCTGTGGGGGCACCACAACGTTCACTATTAGACCCACCTCT